AAATATGCGCTAATTTGCATACATTTCTAGTACAAAAATCTAAACACTGGATGATGTCAGTTTCAAAATTTTTGTTGAATTTTTTTGACCTATTAGAGTCAAAAGTTTTTACAGAGGGAATTTTGGGTATCTAATTTTTGTCACTCCATTATTCAGAAAATGCTTAGAACGGACAGAAAACACTATATTTTCACCATTTTTAGGGGATTAAAATGTTATATATAATCAAGCAAATTATATATGAACAAATCCCTCTGTAAAAACCTTCAGAATATAGACAGGAATAAAAATGTAAAGTTTGGTGTGTGTAAGTGCTACTCAAGTGGAGATTTATGGCTCAGGAGAAAAAACTCATTTTGAGAAAACGACCTTTAAAAATATGCATTGTAATTTAAATCTATTGACACAAATAGATAAAAGTGCTATAAAATAAACACTTAACAGTGTATTTGGGATGTTTTCTTTCCACTAGTCTGAAAAAATACTTTATGAAAAACCAAAAAGCCCAAAATCTCAAACTTGACAGGTGCATGAAAAAACAATGTTTTTGCCTGCAGTGTCTCCCCTTAAAAAAAATCCAAAAAACAATGTTTAATTTTTATTGAAATACATATGATATATATATATATATATATATAACATTGCAAGGGGACGATGAAAAATGACAAATAAATAAATTATTTTTACACATCAGGGACACAAATTGCACCTGTTTCGTGTGATAGACCATGTGAATTATCTATCTAGCCATCCATCTATCTATCTATCTATTTTATTTGTTTTTCTTTGTACAAGTAGTTGTCGAATCTGTGTATGTGGACTTCTTTTGGAGTAGATTGTTCTGTTGTGGTATGAAAGTGAGTTTTGTATTTTTGAATGTGTCTTGAAGTTTGTACCAGTTAGCCATGTTGTCATTTAGGAGTAGAAACATTTTTTTTTTTAAGTGGGGGTTGCAGTCTTTTAGCGTGTCCACATGGAGTGCGGTGTTTAACCAATTGTATTGCTTTCACAACTGTGTGGTGTGAGGTGAAAATCCAAACGCCCTCGTTGGCCATTTCTCTCCTACTGGTCATTTCTGTAACTGGTAGATTTGTGTATCTGATTTGATTAAGATTTAATATGTATATAAAGAAAAAAACAATGTGTTAAACGGTTTCATTTGTGTATAAATAAATGACTTAATTTTTATACTTTGTATCCATGCTCCCCCTGCCTTTGGCAACGAACCTATGTGCCCTTGTATAGGGTTATGTTCCAGGTGGCGTAGTCGATTATAGGATTTTGTATCCATTGTTTCTAGTAATTTCCCCTACCTGACCACTTATTGCCACATATCTGTCTATCTAGGCTACTTTCTATTTTCTTATTGCAACTTAATAAAACTGTTAATTGTTAGTGCAGAAGAGTATTCCTTAACTAAATTCTTTTTTTTTTAGGTTTAGGACCAAGGGGGGAGGTGGGGTTTGTACGGTTGCGGTTAGATGTATCGTTCCACTCGTTTCAGGTCTAATTGTAAACCATGTGTGATTCTCTGGGTCTGACAGTGGTCCTCTGTAGTCACATGACCCTGACGAGAACATATTAGTCATATGAATACCATGTGTGGACAAGGTCCCACCCACCATTTGATTGTAAACAAAAGGGCAGCTAAAACCTTGACTTTGATCAATCTTGCTAACTTAATTATGGTTAAACCGACTTAATTGTGGTTAAATGTTCACATGATTCGTGTAGCGCAAAGTGGGAAATTAGCTTGCTTAGGTTGGTGTATCGAAGGAAAGGGATGTTGGCTGTGCAATTTTATATGCAAGACCCCAGAAACTCAAAAGTAAATCTGACCAAACAGATTTAAAATATAATAGATACCTTACCAAAATAATTGAAGCATTTTACAAGAAAGAAATAGAATTGCTTAATCAGCAAAAAAACATTTAAACAAGTTATATTTTAAGTAATTAAAACCATCAAATACGAAGAAAAAATACACATCCGAGTAAAGAAGATGGTAGTGTTTCTCTCAGCCCTGTGATGAGGGACCCCCTATTTCTCTGTAAGGTTTTTCAAACTGTTCCTGGAGCCTGAATGTGGTGTTAAAGAAAGATGATGAATACAAAATGTATAGAGATGAGGGCCCCCAGGACATGGAATAAAAACCACTGGAATAACCTACTCACTGGGCCTGAGGGAGAGAGGATCCACCAATTAAAAATTAGTTCCAGGCTACAAGAATTAGGCGATGACCTAAATAATGCTCCAACAGAAGATGCAGAGATTTTATGTGATCAGAGGTTGGTCACACTTTATTGCATTATGGGGCCAAACTCCAAAAAACTGCTGAAAATAAGCCCAGAATATGCAACTGCAGATAAGCTACAATTACATCTAGAGCCCGACCGATATATCGTTTAGCCGATATTATCGGCCGATATGAGTCTGTTATGCCGAATATGCAGAACATATAACACAGATTAAATGCTTATGAATGGTGTAATTACTTAGTTTGTCCAGCAGAGCACGCTCCATTGTTTGATACTGGACCCAGGTCAGTGTAGTGTAGAGATGCGCGGATGAGCTCAAACTTCAACCCAGTCCTCTGCTTCAAATTATCCGCCCGC